AAAGAGAGAGAGGGGAGGGGGGAGTGAGAGAGAGAGACAGACAGACAGACAGACAGACAGACAGACAGACAAAGATAGACAGTGAGAGGATGAAAGAGAAATATATATAGAGAGGCAGAGACAGACAATAACACACATACACACACAGACACACACACAGACACACACACAGACACAGACAGTAAGACAGACAGACCAACAGACAGACAGACAGACAGACAGACAGACACCCACATAGGCAAGCTCTATCTCAGCTGACAAAACCTAAACGATAGAAATTCTCCCCACATGGGAATAGAACTCTGGTCTCTTGCGTGCGAAAACGAAGTGCCTAAGTGAAACAAAAGAAACGCTGGTCATGAGAGTCAACCAAAAAGTCCATATCTATAGTGTTATGTTTCGATTAATTGTGTAACAGGAAGAAATAGGTCAACCCTTTAATCTACGGATCCTTACACTAAAAAGAGTGGTCATCCTGTATTATTAAAAGCATAAAAACGGTATGATGGCATTGTGGTCGTCACTCATAATTCAAATCAAAAAGTTGTTTGCTGTTGTTGGTTTGTCGTTTTTATGGGGGGTTTTTTGGAAGCTGAAAAAGTTCAAAAAATAAGTTACACGATTACAGAATGACACAACTTAGGAAAAGCACAAATATACTTATTATAGCCTAAAGCGAATAGATAGCTGTGATAGAAAGCTGTAGAAAGTGAGACATACACTATTATTGATATTAAGGGATCATTTCCGCTTTCTTAGATTTAATCAAAAGACACGCCATAGTCCTCGAAGGTTGAAAGGGAGGGTAAACCTCTATAGTTACAATTACAATAGGAAAACCCACTTAATTAAATCTCTCCAAAAAAGACACGTAGTAACATAGAGTGCTGCTAAGTGAACGACCTCAGTACCAGATCAATAGGTGGGCAAAGTGGAGCCAGAATAAGATAGAGCTACTCGTTACACGCATTACGTGTCAAGAGATCTCTTAACCGCTCGATATTGACCTTTCGCTACCCTAGAATTACAAAGCTCTATCTGCTCAGTACCCTGTTTTTTTAAAGAAATTTGCAGTTAGAAATTTTGAGTTTTACAAGTCAAGCTTTTTCGAAAGCAATCTTTGAATAACTTGATAACGACTCTGGCTTATCTTACGATTCTGATAGCGCAGATCGAATATTAAAAATTTGGTTTCTGAAATCATGGTCTTTGTAACTCAGAACGGCCAAACATGTCAGATAGAACTTTTGTAATTCTAAGGTAGCAGCCATGTCCCCATTGCAGTCACTTGTACTAACGGTCACTGTCGCGTGACACCCTTGTGTTTTCGCTTATTTCTAACCTCTCTTCTGCTGTCTCTTCCCATCCAACGCAACCACGGCCAATAGTTAGTTTCGCGACTAATCATCCTCAAAACTTGCTCATAACGGTCTCTCGCTCCAAAGGTTTTCCTCCAACCTGACTTCTGACTGAGTGTTTGCTCTCAAATATTTCAAAAAAGGTCTTATGATACATTATCACAATTGTGATGGAAGTGAAATAGAAAGATATACTAAGGTTTCAGATTTCAAATCATCGGTTTACTTTGTCAAGTCTTTAAAACAACCATAATCAGCCGTGTCTTTAGAGGCCACCAGTCTATAATGGCCACTCTTTCCGTGATCTTGAGTGACTGTTACTGACAAGTTCGACTGTACTACGAAAAAAAGAACTGGAGAATAGAGCTAAGGGTTTTGCTGGGTTCAGCGTCCTTCCATTTGAAGTGTCTGGCAACGGGTTTAATATATCAGTACGTTGTGGATTATACGAATAGTTAATATTGTTGTTGCTCTTGTTATTGTTGTTGTTTTGTTGTTGTTTTGTTGTTGTTGTCGTTGTTGTTTTTGCTGTTATTGTTACCGATATTGTTTTTGGGGCTTCTGCCGAGACTACTAGTGCATGATGGCATGTTGTTGTTGTTGTTGTTATTGTTGTTGTTGTTGTTGCTGTTGTTACTATTGTTGTGTTGCTGCTGATGTCGATGTTGATGTTGTTTTTTGTTGTTTTAGTTTCTGTAGTTGCTGTTGTTACTGCTGTTGTATTTTCTTCCCTTCTGCTTCTGCTGTTATTTTTTCCTTCCGCTGCTGCCGCTGTTGTTGTTGTTGTTGTTGGTGGTGGTGCAGGGTTTAGCTTTTTAAAAACAAATTGTAAGAGCACTTTACAACAGAAATAGGTTGTTGTTGGAGATGAGTTTCACAACAGTCGACGGCAAATCAAAACGATAGCCATCCCATTCCGCTCAGTACACACGAGAAAAATAACAGATCTGGAAACAGAACGTAGGAGCAGTCCGACCACACCGTGGTGTTAGGAGAGGGCAAAGGATGCTAATCAGTTTGCTACGACACATGCAGAACTATTTGCTCTCACTGGGCACCCTGGTGTAGGACCTGTCATGTTAAGAGTTGCCATACATCCATCACAGTGGAACTTTGGTTTGCCTCAATGGCATGCGCACTGGCCTTCAATAATAATTTTTCTTTTGTTCCTTGTTCTGATTTTGGTGTCGAGGTTACGTAATATGCCAACATGATGCAGATTGTTAGACTTCCAGAAAAAAGAAAACAAGAAAAGGCTGAACTGCTTGGTCTGTGATTATGATGATGATGATGATGACGATGATGATGAAGATAATGACGATAATGATGATGATCATATTAGTATTGCTGTTCGTCAGGTTTGCCTGTATACGTCATATCAATACTCAATTTTCTCTGAGGAAGATAGTATTATCTTTATCAAGGGTGTTATACCCACTGCCCAAGTTACTCGGTGGATGATATTATCGAATGTGCTATACCGCGATTACAAAATAATAAGATTGTATCTCATTTACACCCAGTTTGAGGTATTTGCAAATTTTAAGTTCAAATTTTAATACACTATCATATCTCCCTAAAATGAAGAATAGAATGATCAGGGTTTTTTATCTTTCAGACAAGTCAAAGTCCGCCTTGTATATTATCTAAATTGTATCGACGGGCGTAAAGTCCAAGCCCTCCTCCACTTATAATGATATATATATCTAATATGCATATTATATAGGCGTAGGCTTTTTCAGGTCAGTAGATCATACCACAACCCTGGGCAAAAGTTTTTATTCGCTTCTAAATATTGCCATACTGAAACCAAAAGGTATGGTCAAATGTTGGATAGTTATAGGGAACAATAAATAGTATCGGAGTTCTTCCCTCTATATCAATTTTGAAAGTTTAGTGGTGATTAGAAACACAAAAGTCGAATGATTTCGACAAAATATTATGTTATGAAAACTTGATGAATAGTGATATCGGGCCAAGTCGTCCGCATGAAGACAACCGTGTCCTTTGGAAGAATACTTTAACCCCCTCCCCACTCCCACCCCTTTCAATGTAGGTGTTTTTGCACCCCCATCAATACATTTTAGATCATTTAAGAG